ACTCTGTTAAAACTCAATGATTATCCTAATTATATGTTAGGTTTTTTATATTTAAAATGAGATGTTTATTCAATATTTAATTATGTTTATCTGCAGTTAGTTACACGAATTCAAACATGAAAGTTTAATAAGTTGTACTTATACACAATCCACTTGTAATCTTGAATTTTAAGTAATATGCATCAATAAAAAATACTTTATGCATAAAAAACGATTTTTAATAAATTTTGTCAAATTTTTATAATATAGTATGGATAAATTGTAGTTTATATAAACATACATATTATTTTGACAACCAAAAAAAAGGTTTTGAGTGAAAAAAAATTAATCCAATTTTAAATGCTAAGTTTTATTTTGTGTTCGAAATTAATTTGAACTCGAAAATTATGATTAAGCTCGAACTTGAGATAAGCATACTCGAACTTAAGCAACTCCTTAAAAATCTTGAACCATTAACCCTCCAGGTGGTCGTCCTGAAATTAATCGGTTCACATAACGAGTTGGATATTCAGGTTAATATATATATATATATATATATATTATAAAATATTTGTCAAAAACTCTTAAAAACCATTTTTTATGCATAAAGTAGTGTATATTGATGCATATTACTTAAAATTCAAGATTACAAGTAGTTATGCATAAGTGCAACTTATTAAAGCTCCATGTTTGAATTCGTATAACTAACTTTGGATAAACATAATCAAATAGAGGATAAACATCTCATTTTAAAATATAAAAGATCTAAAATATAATTAGTATAATTATCGAGTTCTAACAAAATAATTAATTATTATCTTTATAATAAAATTATATTATTAAACCAAATATAAATTACTTCGTTATTGAACCTTAAATTATAATAAAATTACACAAAAAATATGAATTTTAAATAGTTAATTTGATATTAATATCGATATATTTTTGTCAAATTTTTATGATATCTTCAAATTTATATTTTATTAAAAAATAAAAACATCATTGTTTTTTCAAAATCACATAAAACCATACTATAATATCGACTGAGATAAATAATAAAATGAAATATTAAAATAAAGATATATCTCGCTGAATTACGCGAGTACTATCCTAGTATATATTTATTTATGTGAATTTAAGTATTTTAGATATATTTTCTATCAAGTATGGTGTGTGCCAACAGCCAACTTCTAAAACAAGAAAAAGGAACCGACAAAAAAAGCTTCGCGTAACCGCGTATCAAAGGCTTAAAAACCGTAGCTTCATCATCGGTAAGTGACGAACATCCAGGAGCCAACTACCATTTGACGCGTGTATATATGATGATTTTAGGAGTCCCAGAAGTAAGACAAATGATTGGTCCTTCATCTTCAATTTTACACCAAGCTGTCACCCATCATAGCGTACAAGTTTCTTATGGACAGATCTGTGGTACTTAGTTTCAACGCACAAATCAGCTGACAACATACGACAAAACTCATTATTTTATTTTATTTTATTTTCTTGTACGTATTCGAAAAGGGGTGGCTAATGACACCCCTATCATGTGCTAATGGCACCTCTAAGTAGCTTTTCATCATTTATGTTTTATGATTTTTTGTGTTTTTTTGTTTTTTTGTGATTATTACTTTTTATTTTATTATTAATTAAAGAAAAT